GCATGCGTGTGCCATGAATCCATGCGTGTGCTATGAATACATGTGTGTGCTATGAGTGCATGTGTGTGCTATGAGTGCATGTGTGTGCTATGGATCCATGTGTGTGCTATGAATGCATGTGTGTGCTATCAGTGAGTGGGGAAGTTCAGCAGTTTCACGTCTCATTTGGGCTGCCGCCTTCGATTCTGAGTTAATAATCACCGCTGACTTTCAGAGTCTCCTGTACTGCCTCTGTGGGCGAGGGGAGCAGAAATATGGCCTCCCTTTCCTGGGGGACAGCAAGGACCCCATGAGAAAGGTGGTCTGGTGTCTTCCTGCAATGGTCCAGGTGCAAGGGGCCTGTGCAGGTGAGGACAGTGGAACAGAAGTGGAGCCTTTAAAAAGGGACTTCAAAAAGTTTGTGGAAAAACTGAATTAAAAGACAAAAAATATAAACTTTATTTCTCAACTTAAGCTCCATCAAGTCCAAGACACTTTTGTAATGGTGACAGCAGCCATTTAGTTCCTCCCGAAAGGACTGAGGGTCCTGGGAATCTGGGAATTTAACCATGTCAATGCAGTCTTTTTTTTTGTTTGTTTGTTTACATTAAATGAAGAAAAATAAGTGCCCTTTACAGATTTTTCTAAGATTAGGAAACAAGAAGAAGCCAGAAGGAGCCAATTCAGGACTGGAAGGTGGATGCCTAACAGTTTCTCTTCAAAGCTCTTGCAAAGGTTTCCTAGTTTAATGAGGAGTGAGCAGAAGCACTGTTGCGGAGGACACTTGGTGGCAGGGGAGGGCGGGGTGCTGGGCGCGGTGGCTCACGCCGGTAATCCCAGCACTTTGGGAGGCTGAGATGGGTGGATCACCCGAGGTCAGGAGTTTGAGACCAGTTTGGCCAACATGGTGAAACCCCATCTCTACTAAAAATACAAAAATTAGCCGGGGGTGGTGGTGTGTGCCTATAATCCCAGCTACTCAGGAGGCTGAGGTGAGAGAATCGCTTGAACCCCGGAGGCAGAGGTTGCAGTGAGTTGAGATCATGCCATTGTACTCCAGCCTGGGTGATAAGAGTGAAACCCCACATCAGGAAAAAAAAAAAAAAAAAAAAAAGGCCTGTCAGGGGACGCTCTCCCAGCGATTTTCTGCGAAAGTGCTGAGGAACTTTCTCAAAACACTCTCACGATAAGTAGACGTTCTCATTCTTTGGTCCTCCAGAACAGGCACAATGCCTTGGGCATTCCCCAAACCCGCTGTAGTGACCTTTACTCCTGCTTGACCAGCCTGCTTCTACTGTGACTAGGCCACCTCTTGGCTCTCGGTAGCCAGTACTGCGGTTGTGCCTTGTCTTCAGGATGGTCCTGGAAAAGCCGTGTTCCATCTCCTGTTGTGACTCTCAGGACTCTGAGTCCACTTGTTGAACATTTCCACCGAAAGCTCTGCTCCTGTCGGCAGCTGATCTGGACGCGATGGTTTTGGCGCCCACTGAGTGGAAAGGCTGCTCAACTTCAATTTTCCAGGCGGAGCTGCGTAAGCTGAGCCGGTTGAGACGCCCATGGTGTCAACTGTTGCTCCTGCCGTTAACTGTGGGTCCTCTACAATTACGGCACGAACAGGATGAATTTTTTCCCCACTAATTGATGTGGATGGTCTGCAGCTGTGGGCTTCGTCTTCCACACCGTTGCATTCCTTCTTAAAATGAGTCGTCCATTTGTAAACTGCTGATTTCTTTGGGGCATTGTCCCCATAAACTTTTCATAAAGTATCAATGATTTCACCATTTTTCCACCCAAGCTTCCCTGTAAACCTGCTGTTTGTTCTGGCTTCAATTTTAGCAGAATTCAAGTTGCTCTTTTCATGAGAAGGGCTCTTTTCAAACTGATGTTTTATCCTTAGTGCCTCAAACTAGATCCTGTCCAGATATAACAAGTTAGTGCGAATTTATTTTGGTGCAAAAACATTTTGAAACCTATGCACAGTTTTTTTCAAAACACGCATTTTCTATGAATTTTTACAAGTCTCCTGGTATTTTCACCACGAAGCCTAGTTTGCACAATTCCCACGTGTGCCGTGAGCTCTGGGGGACCCCTCACCATGCCCTTGTGGGAGAAGGTCCATGTTTTTAGGGGTTCACCAACACCTACTTTCTGGAGCTGCTCAGCCCAGCCTGTCCTGCACCGAAGCACGCTTCTGTGTCCCTACGGCCTCCCCAGCACACGTGTGTGGGCCAAGTGCATCACCCGATGGGCGCCTCCCTTTGTATGGATTTTCAGAGGCCCCTCCCTGGGGGCAGCCAAAAATGCACTCACTGGGCCCAGGGTCCCTTCCCACCACCAAGGACCTTCCAGAAACATCACGGCAGAGGGCAGCAGGGCTGGCCCTAAAACTTTTTCATTCAGCTTTTATTACAAAATGAAATCTCCCACTAATGTCAGTGAAAGTATCAACTTTGACCGGAAGAAACAAAAATGCTGAAAATTCAATGTGACCCCTTTTCAGGGATGACCGCGGAGCAGAATGTTGTTGAAAAGTTCCTCTGATTTCTGATGGTGGAGGTGACACAACCCCCAAGGGCTTAAACACCAGGTGAAGATCCCGCAGGTTACTCTCTAGAGGGCCAGGGGTCATGATTACCGTCAGGGACACTAAGGCAGCGGGAGGGCCCATCTCAATGTCGGGGGCACGAGGTGCCTGATCCTGGTGCCCCACGTCCCACGACCGAGCTCAGACAGGAGAAGAGTGATGTGCAGGACTGTGTGGCTTCGGCCTGCTCAAGTCAGTGCTGACAAATTCTGCCCTCCAAACACGCATCAAATCCACACCTAGGCACTTTGCCCACCAAGAAACTCACTCCTGGAACTCAGGTGGGAGTCACAGGAGACCCTGGGTGGCTTCTGAGCAGTCTACTTCTGTTCTTTCTTCTGAAGAGACCCAGTCCACACAATTTCCCCTAGAACTGCCTCTGCAGCAGCTGTAGAAAGTGCTTTCCGAGGACACAGGAACTGTGCCCCGAGGGCCATCGTTAGGGGCCGAAGAAACAATGTGTGAATCTACACTAGGGGCAGCAAGCTTCCTGCCATGGGTCAGACAGGAGGCACCTGACCTCAGTCGGTGGGCCATACGGTCTCCGCCGGGACCACGTGACGCGGCCCTTGTGGTGTCCAAGACACAACAGACAGTGCGTCGGTGTGCGAGCGTCGCTGTGTCCTGATAACATCGTACCAAGAGCACAGGCGGCAGGACTAGGCCCACCAGCTGGAGTTGCCCGAACCTCTGCTCTGGTCCTGTCCACACAACTTCCGTAACATTCTTCCATGCGCGATTCCATTCCCAGACTGAGAGGTTTCTTCTCACCTACCCAGACCTCACCACAAAGCACGGCGATTTCGCAAACATGGTGTACGACACAGGAAACACGGCGCTGGCCTCAGAGTGGGCGTGGAGTTGGAGTCTGGCACTCCCGCCGCAGGGCTGGGAGGGGAGAATCAGTCTAGTCAGTGGTGGGATGGAGAGAATGCCTTGGAATCCAGGAGTCCTGTGACTCTTGCCAGACCCAGGGCCCTGCCCGGGACGCTGGAAGGCACTGGCCCCACATTCCTTTCTGACCGACATTCCGAGGCTTCCTCCACGGCTCTGACCAACCTGACCAACGGGCAGCAGGACTCAGGGGGGCCGCCCTCTGCTTTCAACTGTCCACATCATCCCAAGGAGACTGGCTTCTAATTATTTTAATAAAGTTCTTGTCATAAAACCTTTTTCTTTGGACAGAAAAACACATTTCCAGCCATGCTTTTGGTGTGGATTTTAAAGCCA